AGACTTTGTCCTCATGCTTGCTGAACAAAACATAATTTCTGTGTGTTTCCAGTTGTCTTTATCCCTTGCTCCATTCCTGGCTGATTATGTAGACTGARAGGTTTTCTGTGTTTTCTACACTGTTATCATCTCTCTCTGTCCTGACAATGCTTGGGGTGTAAACACTGGTGTCAGACTCTATACACTTTTGGGATAAACTGTGGTCTCCTGAACACAGTCCTGCACAGTGTGAAATGTGTAAAAAGTGATGCTAAAAAAAAATAAAATTGTTCTAACAGACATTTTGCTTAACTGAAAATGTCAGTGTTTTTCAGTTCCTCCATTTCCAAAGAATCAGCTGATCCATACTGGTAGAAAAATAATCATGCCCTAGCTGGTCTAAAGTAATTTTGGCATGAAATTCAAAGAGATGAACAGTGCATACTACTGGAAAGGAGGTAATAAGTTAAAAACCTACCTATTACATGATAGGATGGCTGCTCAAATAGTGAGTGTTACCCTGGGTGAAGGAACATTCACCTGCACAGGAATTGTGCACATGCCCTCCCTAAACTGACAGACCCTTCAAGCAACTTACGGCCTCTCTGCTTCATGTTTCAAGGCAGTGCTTGTCAAGTACATAAGCAAAACTTACTGATTTATACTACATATGATGGCAATCAATTTCTGTCTTAGCACATTTTTGTGTCCTGTTTTTCTCTTACTAGTGGACCTGACAAATGCCTTTTTTTTTTTCTTTTCATAAATAATATACAAGAAATCTTACTTTTACAGCTGTTCTTCTGTCTATGCGTCCTGCTAGTGATAAAAGGTTCAACTGTCAGGGAGAGACAATCCAATTCTCTTGAATTAATGAATTAAATTTTACTTTTTAAATAATATTTTTTTCACCTCAGAAAACTTCAAGAAAGGAATTACTGCAGCTTTTGATTTTGCTCAGCTGGGGATGATAAGAGGCAGTGTCTATTTCCACATAAACTGAGAAAAATGAATCTCATTATTTTTGATGATGTAGCAAAGAAGTAATGACCCTGTGGGATCTTATTACATGGCTGAAAAGTGAATTAACTTTGGCATAACCATATCGAGTGAATTACTCTAATGATCTGTTTCCTAACTCTTATGGGTGATCTCATAACAATGCTCTCATAATCTGGGAGTATGCAAGAGAGCATAAATTGATTTTGTTTTTCAAAATCCGAACTTCATTCTCAAAGGAAATCACTGAGGCACTTTGTCATCACAYTGCTGAGGGAAGCAGTTGTTGCTGCAGGGATGATGACACTTTCTGTGGCAGTGACAAAGCTGGTCCAGAGCACAAACATTCGTAAATCCAATGGTGATGTAAAATTGAAGTGGCCCTTGTGTGACAGAGGAGTCACTGCCTTCCTCTGACYGCCCACCTTACTCACAGGACAGGCTGAGGGATCTGCAAAGCCCCTCTGCCTGGAAACTTGTAAAGATGAAAAGAAAATGAACTGGAAGTTRAAAGGTAGAAACTTTTTCTTTTACTGGGTTTTTCAGCAGAGCTATTCAAGACTTTCTGTTAACCATGTCTTCTGGGAGGATTGAAATGGTTCGATGATCAAATTCATTAGTCATTTACAAGTTAGAAGATTAAGGTCTATGTCTCTCATTTCTGTCGTCTGACAGATAAATATTTATCACAGTTTGAAATAAGACTATCTAGGATTTGTCATTCRTCAATGATCAGAGCAGGGTGTAACATGGAATTAACTTCCTGTTTCTGGGTAAATAAGGTAAATAAGTTTCCACATTGTATTTAAACAAGTCTGCAGTGTGGCTGACTTGCCTGGGGTCAGAGAGTTCCTGTGCAGAGCTAAAGCTCCTCAGAGACCGGCCCTGTGCTTCGTTCTGTCCTGGAGTCTCAACACTACACGCTAAATTTGTGTAACGCTAATTAAGGATGTGATCAGACAAAGCAATCAACAGCAGTTCTGTCATGCACTGCAATTATTTCAAGTTGAGATGTGAGTAAATATGTGATTTCAACAGCGGGATTTTAATTCTCTGGCAGCAGGATTAATGAGTTTGCTTTGCACTGGTCACCACTGACGTGTGCAGTGATGGAAAGCAGAGGTGGTTGAGGAGCAGAGGTGAGCACAGAACATTTGTCCAYGGCCACACTCACCCTGCTGCTCAAACTTCCCCCCTTTCAGATATTGCTGCTTTAAACAGTTGTTTATTACAAAATCCTTGATGGAAACAAGGATCCTTTTGGAGATTAATTTTCTGGCACCTGTGAAAAGACCAGCTGTTGGGTGACAGCCTGTCAGATTTTTTAAAACAATCCAACACTGAAGGGCAAAAATACTAYGTCTGACAGGAGTAGCAGCAGTGGTTGTGCCAGGCAGAGAGTACAGCAGGTGGTTTCTGAGGTGCTACAGTACCATATGCTGTCTGCCACAAAATCTCTGCAGCAGGGGATGAAATCCAAAGGAGAACATAACAGAAATGTACATGAAATGGTGCCTCTGCATGTTCTTAGCTGCCCATCCTGCACACAGACTTGGGAAAGGCAAAAAGGGTGTTGTTCAGCTGTAGTCAGCACACATTTTACTTTTAAGGAATGAGRTAATTTTTATCCTTCTTTCACCAAGAAAGAGCTGGAGCAGAGGGCAAGCAAATGGCAAAGGCAGGAGGAGGTGGTGGTGGAGCTGGGTACCAAACCTTCTTCTGCACCTCTGAGGGTCCCTCAGCTCTTACACTCACCAAGATGGTATTATTTACCAAGAGCTGTTGCCAGCTGTTTGCAAAGATGGGCATTAAGAGGACTCTGAGGCAGTAATGTGCATTATCTGAGCAGTCCAGKTTTGAAATTCTGGTATTTTTCACAGCACTTTGCTTACCTGCCTGGGAACAATAAAACAGGCAGCAGTCATTTGAAATAGCAAGGAGCAGCTGTTTGCACTGTTGGCCACCATAAATCTCAAACCACTTATAATAGCAGCACACTCAACCTGATCTCTAGTGATAAAATCTGATTTCCTCTCTGATCAGTTTCTCTGTGCCTGGAGTATTTCCAGCAGAGTGTCCTTCTTGAGGAAAGGAGTGAGACACTCTGAAGCAAATCTGCTGAAACAGCATTTGGCACTTCAAGCACCACAAAGGATGGGAAAACAGTTGGCAGAGACTTTTGCCTGTGTTGTGTGCTGGTATTCCATAAGAATGATGCCTTTGCAAGTGCCATAAGCTACAGTAGCATGTTCATGGCTACGCAGCTGGAGAGGGCATCTGAATTTTCTTCAGAGAAATCAGTCAAGACTGATGTTTCAGAAGTCATCCACTCCAGTCTCGTTAAGTTGGTTTAGGCTATGACTGGATGAATCATCTTTTCTTGTCATGTACCACTGAAAAGCTCTATCACTTTAACCCCTTCCTGAAGACTCACTTTAGTCTTTTTTACTTAATCTGATGATTTTCCTCCTTCTTTTTTCCCTTTGCCCACTCTTCTTTCTCATTCAGGTGTTGCTTTCTCTTGTCTCTCCAATTGTTGTTGTAGAATAGAATAATAAACCAGAAACCTTGCTGTCTGCCTTACTGGTGTTTAAAACTGAACAAATCCCCTACAAATTCAGAGTGCTACCACATCATAAATTATAAAAATGGAACCATGATCTGGCATCCAAAATACACAGATTAAACTGCTGAGAGGCAGAGGTGTGTTTTATAAGGACAGAGGGACACTTCTGATTTTGTTTGACCTGTAGACCTACAGGCTGTAGAATATCATGCAATCACCTCCACATTCACTCCAACATTGTACTGGAGAACCAGGACATTTCCTTTAGAATGTTAGCCAAGTATCAAAATTCCCTCTGGGGAAGCAACTGTCTCAAAGTTATGTGAGGCTGCATTTTCAGCAGTCAGGAATAATTGGCTGCACCTGCAGATGATAATGATTAAACACACTGCCCTGTACAGCCTTCCTATTTGTTCCTGAATGCCTCTGCCATACCAGGATTTGAATGGGAGAGATATTAATTAACATATGTCCATGTCTAATTCATTGAGTGAGAAATGAGCATGATGCAAATGCTTGGGGGCAGAGTTTTGCTGTGTTGGCCTAGCATTTAGGAGCTTCTCAGGTTTGTTATATCCTCGATTTCAAAGTACAGCTGTGCATTACATRCAAATGGGTTAGAAGACTGCAAAAAGAATCACTAATTTAAGACAGCAATGCAAACATTTTTGACATTTAAACATTATCCAGTAAAGGTGCATAACCTTTCTATTTGACAGGAGTGAATGCTAATGAGAGCTCACGCATTAGAACCCTTCAGGCATAAAGAGAGGAGGGAATATATTTCTATTATTTCACTTTTTTGGTAACAAATTAATTCATTACTACTCTTCAAAGACTGATTAATTCCTCACAGTGCTGATCTGGACATTTGTTCCTTTTTTTTTTTTGCTGTTGCTGCTGCTGCTCAAGTGGCCACTGATTAATACAACAGAATATTCAGCATTGCAAATGAAAAAATACTGGAGAYAATGTACTTTCTGCCTTCCCAAAGGCCAGCTGCTGTCCAGCTCAATTTATCTCCTTCCTCTCCTCTCTCCCTCTTCACCCACAGGTTTCTCTGACRTGCTTTCACTTCAAGTGTATGTTTTCTCTTGCTCCAAGGGTAATGTGTCCTCCTCCTAAGGAAGACTGGTGAAATGGCAAAATGATTGGAAAGCTTGACTCCCACATAAAGTGAAGATCTGCTTTACCAGAGTGCATTATAAATGACAGAAAGCCACACTGACTGTGAAGAACCTAAAATACTCCCTATTCCAGCCTTGTAGCTCRTGTGGCTGTAACCACAGCATGCTGACATGGGTGCACTCAGGATGGGACACCCTCTGGGAACTCAGAGGCTGATCTTTGACTAAGTCAAGCTTCTTTGTAAAAGTTAGTGAGTTTAGCTGAGCTACATTTCAGTGGTGACCTTTCCAGACTGTGAGCAGGGCCAAGCTTTTTGTCTTTTGCTCACCTTTGTGTAGCTTGGATATGATTTCTAGCAATTCTCTTCTGTGCAGCATGTTGTATGTCAGGGTAGTGACCTCAACTGATAACCTTGCTGTGCCTGTAACACAGAAAACAAAATTATATCAACAGAGGGAGCATTAAAAAAGGAAGTGGAAAAGTTTAAAAATATAGCAGTGTTCACTCAACAACTCATGTCACACTTAGGATGTATTTCTACTCCTTTTGATGGCTTAGGTACAGCTGTAGAAATGTCATGTCCACGATCTTAAAAAATGAAAATGCTCAATRAGTTTGTTCCATGCCATACACGGAGTTATTATTAATCACTGATAGTACAGTAGCTTCTCTTATTTCCTCCCACTGAGGATCTCTCTCCAGCAAATAGTGCTTCTAACACAGTGATCTTCCTTGGCATGCTGGCCCAATCCTGAACTCACGTTTTTCCCATGCTGCTAATTTGTCTGTTTGCTGTCAGCTCCCCGTGATGGTGTGCTGGGTCTGACTGAGATGAGCTGATTTTCCCAGGGCAGCCTTCATGGTGCTGTGCTTTTGTGTCAGCAGATGGAAAGGTGTTGATTACACACCAGTGTTTTGGCTGCACCAGCACTGTCCCTCCAGCATGCCCCCATCAGCAGCACAATGAGGGGACAGGAGGGGACACAGCCAGGACAGCTGACCTGAACTGACCAAGGGATATTCCATATCAGATGATGTCTGATCAGCAATTGAAGCTTCCTCAGGGAAGTTTAGGCAGCCCAAGGACCCTTCAGCCATTCCTTGACAGCACAAAGGCAGCATATTCTGTCAAAAAGCAATCACCAAGCGGAAATTGGGCTTTGTGAGCTTTGCTAGCAATCAAATCTGAGCAGGAGCTGAACATGCAGAGCACAGAGCAYATTGCAAAGGTGTCAAAGGACTTCAGGAGTGTGGTGAGACTCAGCCTCCTGAAGCATTCAGACCTTCCTTATAGGTATAGAGAGGAATTATCCAAGCATCTCTCTGTGCTTTACCCAGAGAAAAACCCAATTTGAGTACTTTGCCACAGCTCCAAAGAAACAAAACCCATGGGGAAGATGGATGAGGGACACCACAAAAGAGACCATATGGATTTTCCTCCCAAATACTCCACTGTCTTGACGGGGCTTTTAAAGAGCTTAAAACACTGCGTTCAAAACCTTTCTGCAAATCAGGACAAATAATGGGTTTTTTTCCCAAACAAGAGCAATCTTTTCCCCCCCAAAAAAGTTGTCAAATCAGATGAGAAAAAAGAATATCAAAATGTTCTTTTGCTTGTAGTTATGCAGGTCGTTTAGCCTTTTAGTATCTATTAATTATTCTTCTTTGTCTAGGCTTATTATAAAATATCCAGCTGATGCTGCTATTCTCAGTAGCCTGAGGAAGATACTTTGATGTTAAATGATGTTTCTGTACTGTCAGGAACATTTACAGAGTTCCCTGGGTTTTTTTGGCTTGTATTTTTTATTTCAGTTGTTTGTTTACTTGGTTTTGTTTTAACTCCCTCCAATTTAACTCCCTCTCATGTAATCTGTTGCTGCTCTGACCTGAACTGAATTTGCCAAAACTTTGCACTAAAGCAAGTGACACTATTTTTCTGTTCTGTAACGAGTTTTTTAGCTATTTTTTTTAGTCTTTTCAGGCTGACCTGTGAAACAACAATTTTCTGAGCCACTTCTTCAACAGTAATTGTTCCTGCCTATCTCAACCACCCAGCATACAGTGCCTGAGGATTTATTCCAAGTGATTAAGATGATTTCCCAAGGATGTCCCATATGATGATCCTTATTTGATTTACATCTCTCTTCATTTTCATTATTGTCTTCAAAATTACAAAGGTTCAATACAGGTTTTGTTGTTTTGGGKTTTTTTTTGAAGGAGATTATGCTAAGAAGTTCTCACTGCATTAATGTTTCTGATCCTCAAAGATGCYGGTAATTGGCGTGTATGTAATTACAAAATTCTGGTTTGCTTGGAGTGTTGTCCTTTTATTCACCCTACATATAAAACGTGAACAGTAGCAGAGCCACAAATGCACTTCTCATGGTGTTTCTGATGCCTTACTGAATTGCAGATAAAATCTAATAATAACCTTTGTCATAAAGCAAATTTCTTCCTCTAGAGAGATGATGAAAGAGCTTTTTCTGGTGTTCTATCCAATAACTCAGCTGGTCACAAGGCCCCTGGATGACCAAACACCTGGAACATGAAAATCATCTGCCTTATTCTGAAGTTACTGGTARAATAATGAGACATGAAAATGTCACAGTAGACATAAAAGGATTGGATAGGTGCAKTTATAATAGCTGGGATAAAATTAAAATGCTTTCACTTTAGGGTACAAAGTGAACGCAGTTTAGTGCAGCATTAAGTCCTTCCTCTGAATGACGTATACCCTGGAGCACAAATGGTGACTGATGGCAATTTTTGGTGACGTGGCTGCAATTTTTCATCTTCCTTTGCTGAAAATGCCTTCATCATTCTCATAAACTAAATGACCCAGTGGTATTTTGTGGGTTAGACATTCCCTTTTTTTTGGTAGATTTGGCATTCGTGTGTGACAACTGAGCTGATTTCAGGTTGGTCCTGCCTGGAGAACAGCCTGATGACAATTCTCAGCTGCCAGGACACTTCTGTATCAGTTTGCTAAAAAGAATGGGATCCAGATTTCATCATTCATCAGTACATGGCCAAAAAAGTGCTCAACTTGGGTGGGATTAAGATATGTGGGCATTTTAGAAGTAACTTGATCTCTTTTTTTTTCACCTCCTTTCAGGTGTGATTGTGGAAACATGAAAAATTGAGGAATCTATGAGTTCCTCCAGAGTTGACAGTTTTACACAAGTTCAGCAAATATCCAGAGACAAATATTCAACAAATGCAAACCAAAGGACGTTCACTGAGACCAATGTGACAAAAGCAGTTGACTTTGTCAGAGCCACTCCAGTTTATGACAGCTGAAGCTTTGACTCTGAACAGAATAGATGGACAAAGAGATCCTTTACTTGTTTTTATGTCAAGTCCTGTTTCTCTGCTGATTAATGCAGATTCTGATTAATGCAGAATGTATCCAGAGGCACAGAAGGCACCCATAGCATCTGGAAAAGCATSCAAGGTCCGGTACTCTTTGGCCATTTTTCTGAACGAGTGTGGTAATGTTTGAGTGCCTGGGTCTAGAKATAATCTCCAAAAGTTCTTGGAGAATAATATAAAAAAATCTGAGAGTAAGAATGAGCTCTAAAACAAGCAGATRTGAGAATTATCAGAGGGAACCAGCAAAGGTAAGAAATACACCCACATTAACATCAGTCTGTCCTAAGCAATCAGAGCAATGTGAGACTGAAGGTTCAGACTGTGTCCCTGAGGGGTGGATCCTTGCTCTCCCCAATGCACTGTGACAGTATTACCTGCAGCAGGAGGAATCTCTGCCTTTTGGGTACTATAATCCTAAAACAGGACCAAGATGACATAGGCATCTGAGCCCACCAAACATTGTTTGGCCACTTGGGCTTTTAATAGAAAAAACATACAACAAGGTATGTAGAAAAATTATATTATCCTATTATCCAAATAGTAAATTGGTTAGAGAACAGTTCTGGTTCTTGGGAATGCCAAGATTGTATCCTGTGGAATCTTCTTTGAAGCTCCTCAGTCCAGGCAGAGTCTGGGCTGAGCTGACACAACTCAGGAGCTCTCTGGGTCTGGAGGAGCATTTCAGCACAGTGCTTTTTAGGGTAGATGAAGGCCCTGTCACCAATGGGAAGACAAACTTCTCTAAGTTTAATTATTTCACAACCAAAATAGTAGATTATCATCCTTCTCAGCTACTGCTTTCAGGTGACATTTTCTCTGCAAAGCTGAACTGAAGTGTTCAAAGCAAATGTCATGTTTTTTATTAAAAAAATCTTGCTAAGCACATGAACTTCCATGTTCCTACTGTCTATGTGGGGGAGCCACTCTGTCTGCTTCCTGTTCACTTTTTGTGTCACWAACACTTTCTTGTGACTAGTGAAGTGAACTAAGCCTGAAGGAGACAAAAAAAAAAAAAAAAGATTATAAAACCAATTTATTTCAGAGCAAAGGAAATAAAATGTAATACGGTTCCCAACTAAAGTCTTTTCAACTACCTCTATTTATTTCTTATCTACCTTCAGTAATAATGAATAAATAAAAATTAGGCAGGAACTGTACCCTTTCTCAAAAAAGAAAATCAGTCATCCTCTGTGCTGACGCAACTAAGAAACATAAAATTGATGTAAAGGAACMACAGACACTATTTTTTTCTTCTAGAGAGTTATTTTCTTGCAATGGAAGCCAATTAGTGTTGTTCTCTGAAGAAACACGAAAACATCAGAGAGAACATTTTTTTGTCTGAAAAGAAACAAAAAGAGTGAAAATCTTTTTGTGAGTGAGTGGTCTAGAAAGACATTTTCATGTGCCTTCAAAAAATGGAGAGAGACAGAAGAAGACACTACTATAGTTTCCCTGACAAACATAATGCGACTTTACTCTTGAAAACGCTGCAGTTCTGATTTTYTCCATTAATAAAATCTACTGAAAATGTTTCAGACAGGGTCTCACTTTGCCAAAATTTTCCTGCTGAATTATTTCCTTTAAACWGTGATAATAAAGATGCTTCTAAAGCATTGCTACCTGTTGAGATCAGGAGTTCAGGTAGGAAGAAGTGTTTATTTTTTTCAAATGTTCTCACAGGAAGATTGGTTTTTGCCTTCATTTTRAAGTGGGGTKTTTTTTTTGCTCTTCTGGGATGCACCTTCCCCTCTCTCCAAACGATTCCTGTTTGCATTARAGTAGTCTTGGAGACAAATGTGGCACTGCTCTGGGAGAAACCTCAGATTTTGCCTTGGGAAATGGAAAGGCTCCATGGCTCCATGGAGCTGTGAGCCTGTTCTGAACAAACATCGATCATGGCCTGACACACTCRGGCACTGCTGCTTCACCATCAGCTGTGAAGGAGCCTTGGAATGATGAGGTGAGTGCTGTATCCATCCAAACAAACATTTGAATTGATATCTGAGCATGCAAAAAGCTGACAATTTTGCAAACAAAGGCAGCAGGACC